CCTTATTAAACGAAAAAGATTGCGACTATTACCAACAGCCTCAGCCTTCTCCATCTCTCTACACTTTCCTACCCACCACTTCTCGCGATCATTCCTCAGACTCTTGATGAGCTGGCGTTTAAGGGATTTGCGCGCTTTGTCAAGTATCAAGTATTCATTTGTGATAACCGGCCACGAAGCTTGAAGTGGCGAACCAAACCAGGCTCCGATCTAATGCGTGTCGCATTAAACCGGGCACCAATAAAGCTATCTGCCACTATGGATACACTAGATGTATGCATAGCTAGCTTGTGCCCTCTGTTTGTTGGTCATAGAAGTTCATTTACCTTGCTTCCCTCCAGTTAGGTACAATTCCTATCCATCTTGTACGTTCTCAATTACTTTGTGCACATCATTATCGTGGAAGCGATCAGCGAAGTTCATTTCATTACATCTCACTGTACGTTGATGGTGGTGGTGTTAGTTCTCTGGGGTTAAAATATCGGCCCTTGGGAGATTGATTCACTTATTAACTCCAGCACTCCTGCTGTTCAGCTGTAAAGCTGATGCATAGAACTATCAGGTCAAACTGGGTAATCCATCTGTCATTTCACTGTGTTCCTCCTCCAGATGCACCAAGCTATGGTTCTCAACTGGCGGTAGATCATGCGCTGGTGCTGAACTTGTGCGACGAACTATTAGAGGACCTTTCGTATTCGCCAGTAGTGTACAGGACGAGGTGACAAACCAAATTAGTGCACGGGCTACGTTCGCAAATCCTCATCATCTCTGGTACTGAAAAATTGATACAGTATTTAAGACAGGTTGTGTTAATAACAGTACCTTCACAGTATACTGGTCAATTGGAGAAAAAATATCTAGAAGGTTCAAACTTTTGATAAACGATGTTTCGTGGTATTGTCGGCCTCCGCTGAACCTATTGCGTCAGGAAAGACGAGGGCATGACCAAACGCTTAGTGTGATTGTGGAATAGCTCGCCGTGGCTCGGTCATCTCAGAATTTCCCCCTATCATCTACGACGCGGTCGATTCTCGTGCATCTGACTGTAAAAGACCACCATGTGGGTAGCACCCAAAGTCATCATCACCGTATAGCAATACAGTGAAGCGAACTTCGTCGGTAGATACCAAGCTCATACCGTATACAAAGTAAGTAGAAATGTGTAATTTGGATGGGTGTAACTCCGTTTTGTGGGAGAGAGAAAGTAAACCACCATAATCAACGCAAAATCACAGTCCAACTTGACATCCATTTTCAAGGATTCTGGCCTGACACCGAGAATATCGCTACTCTCAGTTCACTACCATGTCCTTCTGGATCTCCAGCTAACCAGTTGCAGTCTTTCGGACATCTGCTTTGAAGATCGGAGATACCTAAGCTACCGGTCTCTTCTCCGTTTCACCTGTTGAGCACGCGATTTTTCAACCCTGTAGCACAATTGCAAATGAAGTAATGCCCCTGACAAATTCCAGACATGCACTGCACGTGTCCTAACCAGCGAAGCGCAGTCTTCTGAATTCTGTGTGATAAAGAGGTTTCCTCCGATACGCACTATAATCTACGGCGGCTTGTCCCGGTGTTACTTATCCGCTCGCACCTGAACACTCAAGCTAAACTGCGCTAACATCGATGATCGGACTTACAGTCAATGGAAATGACATTGTACTACTAAGTGAAGATCCAGATAAGTTGCCAGTTTTCCGGAATGGTTTGTGTTCTGTTGTAACCATGTTCGGCTTACCTTTTTCACCTTTAAAATGTAAAATGTGGTTATAGCAGTGGGATGACCCAGCCCCAAACCTCACTCCAACAGAGGAAGTAGCAGAGAAAATGGACAGATTTTGCCGTTTTGAGAATTTCATCTCTCCCGGTGGACACGTTACGGATAAAGTGTCGGCACGCATTCAAAGAGCTCGATAGGCACTTGCCGACTTGGGACATTTGTGCCTGTGTCACGACGTCCGGCTGTCTCAGGCGGGTCGAGTATGTGCTGCAGCAGTTCGGTCAATGCTGCTTTATAGTACAGAGACTTAGCGTTATGGGGACGGAATAAAGATAGGCTGTGGGTATTGGAACACCGCTGTCTCCATCGTCTTCCACTAGTCTGGTAGAGAAACTGAGCCAGCAACACCCATGCCTAGGCGCAATCATCCACCAAACCAAGTTGTAGATCTCCGTAGATTATGCTGTTTGGGGTGCTTCGCGTGTCACCAAATAGGTTGTCACGGCTTGCAATAGTTTCCGAGGCAGGCAAAGGATAGAAAAATATCAAGGCTGGTCAAACTAAGACAGCATGAGGGTGTGAAAACTGTTACCGGGATACTCGGTCACATTGGTCTCGTTAGGCTCCCTGGATGGGGATCTCGACGTCCCGATAACCGGGGCTTAGAGACAGTGCTATGGTTGCGTGCCACAAGCAGTGACACTCGTACATGTATTCATGATCCTTGTCTTTTTATTCACGATGAATTCTCCATTTTCTCTTTGACTTTGCTCTCAATATTCCAACTCTTATCCAAATAGACAACCTCAANAGACAACAACCAAAACAGCCACACTAAGGCGCCTAGTTAATGGTTTTAAAAACTGAAAATCTAAAACTGAATGCAGCAAACTCAGAAGGTTAACAAAGTTCAGTGACATTCCTTTGTGGTGAGGGAAACCAATTAGATCCTCTTAGTCAACCGAACCAAAAGCTCCTTTAGGTCAGGAAGTGCTGTCTGTGATCATTGGTCGACAGTGTGTGGCGCAATGCTCAGGCTTGATCAATACAGTCGCGACCGGGTCGAAATTTGGCCATCTGCTTGTCTCTGTTAGAGGTCTAAAGTAGCCAACTATGATGAATGCAGACGCTTAAGTGACTATCGGAATTAAACTTATCCCACAGTAACTTCCAGTCATGTGACACCTTATTGAAGATAAAAAAAAACTATAAGTGGCTCACCCCGGGATAATGGAATACGCTGTTCTAATCAGATTTCCCGCGGAACAGTAAAGGCACCTTCGAAGGAGACGCCATCCACCTTAAAAGGAATTTGGGAAACCCGTTAATTTCGTCTGTCTTTCCGCTGTTTGAGTTCTGCTTCGTAGTTATTTCTCTCTGTGAGGACTACAAACCCAAGGCTCTTCAGATACGATTCCCGAAGTAGCATGATTAGCATTAGGTCAAATGAGTGGTTCGCCAAAATATTCTACCCAGCGATCCAGCCACTCCACCTGTTGTCAATGGTCTTTTCATTTTCATCACTGCTTGCGTCTCTGATCGGGATCCGTCTATCTATAGTGTTGCATATCAGCTAAAACCGTGTTTAACTGCCCTCTGAGGCAACCGGTACTTCCAATTCAATGGCTACTTTGATCCCCTAGTTTTCGTTGTCCTTCTTCATGATTTTCATGATTTGACGTTGCGAACTGTTCACGTTTCAATCCTGGCAGGTTTTGATCTTTCAGTTTTTTTTCTCTAATGGCGCCTGGGAGATCCAGTGTCTTTGACGGGTTTCAGACTCCAGTCCACAAGAAACGTTCAATACAGAATACATTGCACTTCGGATCTGATCAACTCCTTCGAAATAATTGCATTTTCCGTTTACATCTCCCTGTCTAGGTCGTGGTTCCTATGGCTACGTGGACAAGATGGTTCATCGGCCAACTCAACGTATGTTTGCTGTCAAACACATCCCCATTCACCAGGAGAATACGAATAAGGCACAAATTCAAAAAGATCTCGCTGTCGGTATGCGTAGCCGATGTCCGTCCGTAGTGACTTGTTATTGTGGACTGTGTTACGAGTTGGAGGTGCTCATTGTTATGGAACTGATGGATACCTCCTTAGATAAATTACTAGAAAAGGTTAGTGCATTGCTCCATTTCCACCTCATTAATTTCACTGGTATTTTTTGTCCCAAGCTAAATAGGAAATTCATCTATTGGTCCTTACCCCACACCTAAACATACAATGGGGTGAGATACGGACTTCACAAGCTGGTTTAGAGGCAAGTGTTCGAATAATCATGTGCTTCCTTCAAATGGTATTAAGGCGGCTGGATCATTAAATTTACCGGGTTATTCAATTGTGTCAGTCCCGATAACTGCCTCCATAGTGTTTCTATGGTAATTCAGTATGGCTAAGAATCAGTCCCCAACTATGTGAATTATGCTTGTTTCGTCAATCAATTGTAGCTCAGTTGAAACTCTGCTTTGACGAAAGATCTGCTGATTGCTTGTCATTATATTGAACAGTTTTCCTGCCCGATTTCTTTCGGGGACAGACCAAAGTCCGTACACCACTGTGCTGTTTTTCTTCAGTAAACCTAAAGAGCAAAATAAGAATTAGACGGAAGTAAAAGAATATGACAAAATTTATATATAGTGAGTAGTGTACAGAACAATTGAGGCGTGGAATGAAAATCTGAAAAGCATTGGGCAGTTATTTCGGTCTGGTTGGGTGTAATCAGCAGTGCGCGAATCCATCGATCCAGCTAAGGTTTGAACTGTGTACCTCACAGGTAGCGCGCTAGTTTAGTCCTGACTTGAACACCAGGCCGTTTTTTTATCCATACATTATATAGCACAACTCATAGTCGCAAAACTATGGTGATCGCATCTCGCTTTTCTCGGTAATGGCCTTTAAGCTTACTATACAGTTGGATTTTATACTTGTTTTTTACACGACAATTTATCGTATCCATTCAAATTCGTCATTATTCTCTTAAAAATGATTGGTTCACCGATCAAAGTAACACTCGGGTTGTTAATGCCATCACGCTCGATTGTTCTGGGCTACACTTTTGTCCACATCAGAAGGCGTAAATCCCATGGTGATGAGAACTCATTGTTTGGTTATGGTGACTGAAGTCCCAGGACCTTGAGTGGCACACTGTATAAAGTCCCAGTAGAATCGGCCTGGAGCTCTACCGGACGGCATCGAAGCTGTCTACCACCGAAGTTGATTGGCAGGATTTGAACCTCAAACTATAGAGCGCGGAGCACTCCAATGCTGGCAACTCAAACCGCCCTACTCCCGGCGTCCTAGGAGTACAATCGCTCTAGTTATTTACTAACCGGGCGATGTTACATGAAGTTAGCATAATTAAACTAGGAACCAGAATGATCCGTACGAGCAAAGATCAGTTTCCTTATTTCAACCAGTGCGCCTAGCGGAGTAGACCAGATCAGATCCCCGGTGATAGAATTAAATTGTTGGTGTTTTTTTTGTGACAATTACCGATTATCACTGTTACGCTTTTTCGCTCCATCTCAGGCCCACCTGTTATCAACTTATTCTCTAGACAATATAGAACTAGATGATTCTTTCCGGGGTGCATGAGGACGCTTTCAGAAATCAAACAACTGTCTACCACCCCCATTGCCATCGGAATCGTTCTGCTCATCTTTTATCTGATTAGCCCTCAATTCTGTGTACCTCTGTCGCTGCTTGAATCGAGTCACACTCAGCAATGCTGTTGACGCTCTGTTTACTTCCGTTCTGTTATATATATTCAGGTAAACGCGGCAGGTCAGTCGTTCCCTGAGAGCATCTTGGCGTATATTGTACATTGTGTGGTCACTGGATTGGAGTACTTGCATCAAGAGTTGAAGATTATTCATCGGGATGTCAAACCGTCTAACATCCTGGCCAGTCGGAAGGGTGCGGTAAAGGTGAGTTGATTTCATCGTTGTGGGGTTTTATTTCCCTTTGCTCTTTACTATACAGACTTATTTTCAGATGCTCCACAGTTTCAAGCTATCTCGAGTTTCAGCCCGCAATCCACTTGACGTGGTTGTTTATTCCGCTTTTTACTTGTCTTCCTATCTACCTGATGTCAAACTATAGCCCAAGTATCTTTCTGACACCGATTATTCGTAGGCACCCTAGTACTAGGTTATCCAATTCGAAACTGGTGATTCTATTAGTGATCGTTAATCGGAGCCTGCACTCACCTGTTGTGGTGGCCAGCTGGAGGTAGTTAAGGGCGTCAAGTACGTCATGATCTTGATCGTAGCTGATACTGTCAGACGGAAATAAAATCATGAACAACAATCTTCCTTTTCGTTTATATGGTGAATTCATCGTGTAAATGAGGCGTGAGCTGAAAAGCTGGGAAGCACTAAACAGCTTTTCACGATGAATTCATCATATAAACAAAAACGATCCTCCATTAATCTCTGTTTTCCTTCGGCAATCTTTGTCTGATCGCGGCTCGCTTCTTGAAAGTTTATCGGACATTTCTATGCTCACAAAACATTTTTCAAGATATAAAACCAGAGCAACTTTTGCTAACCTGCGACACCTATGAGGTAGCGATAACATTAGCCTTTCTCTTAGGGAGCGGATGTACATTAACGCAGTTCGTAGTGTTGTGTTTTGCGGTTGTGAGAGCTGGTATCCGGGATGAGGACTTTCTGTATTCGAACACTGATTTATTCAAAGTATTTTTTCGTGTCTGATGGGAGCATCGGGTCAACAATGGTAAATTTTGTCTTTGCATGTTGGCTGCTAATAGCTGTCCTTCAAAAGCACAAATCACTTTACACCACATCCAATAGCTAGGTCACACTATATGTGTTCCTGTACACCGTCTCTCTTTGTGCTCTCTTCGCGCGTGTTGGGCCAGGTTATAAGAAAGGTCACGGCCGTCGAACCATGATCTGTTGTGCGGGTATGTACGGGTATTGGTTTCGGTTCGTTCGACCCACTTTCCAGCTTGGTGCCTAAAGGATGAGGATTGTCTTTGATTAGAGACGTTGATAATACTGAATACTGTACGGTATCTGTCTGCTGACATCCTGTGTCACACAAAAACAACAAAGTAACACAAAACAATGTCAAAAGATGTACGGTGAAACGAACGAATAATAGATTGTTTCTCTTCGTCTTTTGATCTTCTGTATGTAGTTTTTTTGTTTTTCTCTCTTTTCCCTCATCTCACTCTTTTGTATTATCATTATTGTTCTTGCTTTGGGAAAAGGTTTGTTCGTAGCCCGGTGATAAGTATGTTATATCGAAATCTTCAACTCTCAGAAGCCTGTTTCACAAGACAGATCGATCCATTTCTCTCAAACATTTTTATCCACATAAGCTTTTGACTCTTTTTCTCCATTCCACAGATTCTTGTGACTATGCTTGTTTTAGTCATCGCGCATCCATTTCCTTGCCTTTCACAGTACTCCTAAGATTGACTTTCTTTCCTGTGCTAAACGTTTCTGCATCTCCAATGATATACAAAGCTCACATTCATCATGCCCTCGAATACCTCAGTCAATGTAATACCATACGCCTTACTAGCAACTCAGTTCCAAAATGTAGCTTGCATTGAGTAGCTTACTATCGGTTTATTCCATCCCCTACCACTGTGGCATTTATCCAACTAAAATGGCTTTTTCCGTCCTCCTATATCCCTTGC